TTTCATCCAAAAAGGAGAGATGGCATGTATCACCCCTGCCTGGTCCTCTGGTAAACTCGGTCTTAACACCTTATTTTGCAATTCGGGCAACAATTACGCAGCAGCCCTTTTCACGGTTATTTTTTCTCAACTGCATTACAATGTAATCCAACGTGGATGCGAGGCAACTTCGGGAAGACACTACAAACTAGCCCGAAATTGCCTCACATGCATGCGCGACTACATTGTAATGCAAATGAGGAAAGTTAACTGTAAGAGGGCTATTGTTATATATCTGGCGTTTTTCCCGCTGCAGCGCGCCCATTCGTCGGCTAGTTCATGGTCACATGAAAAGAAACAATGAAACTGTTACCGCCAAATGCCATGAGCGCTAGCGGGCAACATTGCGAAAACTGTGACGTTGGACGGGAAACAGTTCACTGTTACCTGCGAAATGTTGACCGCTGTTGCCCGCGATCAGAGCGGCCGGATGTTGTCGTTGGAATCTCAGCGCGTTTTTCAAAATTTGCCTTTATTTTGTTTTGCAACATAACAAATCACTTTAATAATGACTGGTTCTTTCGTCGAGGGAAACATTGAGATTCGAGGGAAACAAAATTCACTGTTCCCCTAGAGACCAGTCGTGCCACGTGACCAAAAATCAACCAATAAAAGCGCACGTTAGATTTGGTTAAAATACAGCTATAAGAATAAAGATATGTTATTTCCCGGCTGGGAGGTCCGTATAGTGAAAAACTGTGACCGGTCTTGAAAAATGCTACCCGAGGCTGCAGGCTGAGGGCAGCATTTTCAAGCCCGAGGTCATGGTTTTTCACTGCACGGATCGACCCTAAGCCGGCAAATAACATACTTATTTTTTCCTGCAGTAAATTGGCTCGCAAATGGATTTATGACGCAACTTCGTCATTGAATTGATTGGCTTACGTGCCGTCTACAAACCATCGTAAAAAATCTAGCGAGCGAACGGGCGAATAACTCAGATACTAGACAAGGAAAGATGTATTACAGAAGAAATCTATTTCGAACTACTTTATGTTAAGCCTGGTTCTCATATGCCGCCCACATACCTGGAAGACCGTTACAGCATATGTGAACATTTATCGCCGAATCATAATCTATCCCTGGCATTGACCGCCGCCTTGCCTGAGAAGTTGAGCTGAGTTTAAACTGAATATCACCCGCGGGTGCGACGTACTCCAGTAAGACGATTCGATCCAATTTACAGGTGAAATGGTTGAAAATTGCGCTAATTCGATTTGCATTTCGCGCAAATTTGAGTACGTCGGCGATCCATCGCAGATGCTCCGGGGAGCCACTGGAACAGATCGCCGAACGTTGTCAGTTGCAACCGGCGACTACATCGCAGGTAGGTCGGCGGGATATGAGAACCAGACTTTAGTTGCACCTGGTTCAGCAGTTAAGTTCTCCAAAATTGTTTTTCCGGTGTGAAATTTCGTGGAAAGTTTGAAGTTGTGCTGCAAAAACAATTTCTATCAGTCGTTGCGAATCACTCGAAATCAGACTTTTCTACCCTAAATGAAGTGGCAGAAAGCGAGGAAATCCGTGAAGTGTATTTCACAGAAATTCTCTTAAATACAGCAACGATCAGAGAGGTAAACTCGACTGCAATCGATTTTTGTTTTGCTTAAAATTGTGCGGCGAGAGAAAAACAGGAGCCACAGGATTACGCGCCGTTACAGCGCCGAGCTACAAACAACCAAACAAACTCTCACAACTTAAAAAATATTCAATTGAATTTACTTACTGTGACTTTGCTTGCCATTTGAAAGTGAATAGAGATAACCTTGCGTTGATTAATCGTCGATGGAAGTGAAAAAAGGGCAAAGGTTGACCATTTGCAGCTAGTTCACTCACGAAAAATGATCAACACGACAATTTCACCCGCGCTGTTTCCTGCCGTTACCGTGACCGTGGTCAGAGATAGGAAAATCCGGACCGCGCTAAGAACCAATCTCATTGCAGGATTCGTTACCGTGCCCTCTTGGGAAAAAAGTTTGTTATCTTTATACTTCAGTGAGCTCAATCGATTCTTAACAACACAGTATTTGTAGTCTTGATGATATCAGTCGCGTCAACAAACTCTTCAACCTTAATTTGACTTCTAAAAGGCGTATATTTTTTCACTACTTCGGACCTTATAGGGTCTATAGGGGTTGAGTCCTTATTAAAAAAAGTTAATCACTTCTGTGATTGTACATTGTTTGTGATTACACCACTGCGTAAAAAGCCAAATATTCGGCCCGAATTCTTCAGTCCAAAGACGGGTCGACGCACGCCGCGTAAACAGAAATATATATATATCCTATTAGATGGTTTGGTGTGTAGTATCGCTGTTTATAATCCGTCAAATATTTTCGCTCGCGATTGGTCTAAACACGTCACGTGGCAGAATAGTCCCCAGCTATAGCTGGGGAATATCCGAGAATATTCCCCAATCTTCAAAACCGCGCGTGTTGCGAAAAATATTTGAAGGATAGTAATTACAATAGCCTTCATTTGGCGCGATAATAGATAAACAATGGCCTCCTTTTGGCGCGAAAATATGCTAAGATATTGGTCCGCGGACATCATCTGTTACGAGAAGCAAACAGTTTTCCGAGAGCGAAGCTCGAGGAAAACTGTGAGCTTCGAAGAACAGATAATATCAAAGGACAAATATCCGAGCATATTTTGAAAGTCAAATGGAGGCTATTGTGTTTATTATCCTTCAAATATTTTTCGCAACACGCGCAGTTTCGAAAATTGGAGAATATTCTCGGATACAGCCCAGTTTTAACTGGGGAATATTCGGTCACGTGACGCGTTTAGACCAATTGCGCGCGAGCGAAAATAGTTGATGGATTATAAGCCAGGATATTTGTCCGCGGACATTATATATTCCAAAAAAGGAAAACGCCATTCTTCTTTACTTTGAAAAGCCTTTCAAATAAGCAGCAATTATTTTTTACTTTATAGGCATTTAAATGAAAGGACAGTTAAATAAGACAATAAGGAAGGCTAAAATACAGTCAAATGAATGCAGTCTTTAAAAGTGCTTGTCTCAAATGGCAATTCTTGGCGCAAAAGGGGAGCATGAACTGTTTGTAAACTGTTTCAGAGGCAGCAAAAAAAAAATAGTGCCAGGAACTACAGAAGGGGCAACAAAATGAGGTAGGAAAGTCAAACTTCCTGCAAAAATCTCAATCACAACTACTTGATTGGGCCTATTATTTAAGCAGTAAAGTCTAGAAGATCAAAACAAATGTCTGAGGATGATAATGAAGAAACAAAAACATAAATTATTAGTTTCAAATATGGACCAAAGAGATGGTGATGACTCTCAATTCTGCCGAGGGACTTATCCAGTATTCACTTTGATAAATAATGCCAGATGTTTGGTCTGAAAATGAAACAGACCTCACCTAATAAGTTATTCAGTGAGAGGCAAAATCCTCAACCTTAACGTAACGGCACGTAACAGAAAGGCACCGCACCTACTGTACTGTTATAACTAACTTCAAGGCTGTAAAGGGTCACGAACCTGTTCAAAAAAGGCAACCCTTACCACCAGAGTCCAGAAATACAGAAATACTTCAATATATCCCGTTGATATGACACCATTACTCGAATGCTCGAATGCACCACTGCTCGAATGAAATATTTAACACTTTGATGACTGCAATCTGACTCACACGCACTGAATCCTATGTAGGAAAAAAGATGGCGACTGGTACATTTACCCATAGTTCTTAGCGCACGGAAACCTTAACAATGTTTATAAAAACGTACAGAATAGTTATAAAATCTTCAAACCTAGGCTACACAATGTCCTTAGTACAGGGACAAATATTGTAAAAATTTGGCTTTCTTTGTGCCTTATAGGCTGTGTTAGGTTCGCAAGGTATTGTGGTAAAATGTATAGCCACCATCTTTTTTCTTACTGTGGATTAAACATCAACATTAATTCGTAGTGGAGTTCCCGCTCGCAAGTTTAATCTAAAATATTTATCCCCGATGCCTCAGAATATCCAAAATTTAGATGTTAGGCCACTGGAACTTTTCCTTAGATGTTTGTACGTGAAATACGCAAAACGTTTACAAACGCTTTCCGCGCATGGAAGTCCGCCATGTTTGTTTTCCACGAAACAGTACTTAGTCTCGCTCGGCCAAATTTTTTAACTGGGGCGATCATAGAAACTCGGTTCCAGGCCTCGCTGCCAGCACCCCTAATGAGGAATATCCGAGAAAATTCCCCAATTTTCAAAACTGCACGGGTTGCGAAATATATTTGAAGGATAATAAACCCAATAGCCTCCATATGACTTTGAAAGAATATATATCTTATCAGATGTAGTATTGCTGTATATTTTTACGAGTTGTGCCGTATTTTGAACCCATAGGGCGAGTCAAAATACAAACGACGAGAAAACTATAAAACGATACTACACACCAAAACATCTAATAAGAGATTTGTTATCCAACTCCTGTAGTCAATAAATTTATCAATGAAAAGAGGGAGAGTGTGACAGTTTTGCGTGCGCGCGCCGACCTGTACGGCAAACAGGTTTTCTACTGTACAAATAACTGTACAATATCGTTGTATATTTGTACTGTTATTTGGACGGTATTCGCTGCAGCTGGATAATAAGCTCGGATATTTGTCCTTAAACACGAAGCGATCCTATATAACGAGACTGAGGTGTTCAGCCAGCCAATCACAAATCTTAACGGACGACCAATGCTCCCATTTGATTGGCTTATTCACTCAGGCCTAATTTTAGCGCGTTGCCACAAAATTCTGGCGAGCGACAGTTGTAATTTTCTGGTTTATTTTACAAGTAAGCAATACCTTTTGAGGCATATGAACGATAGCTTCAGGAGAAGAGTTTACAAA